AGGAAGCAGAGTGCCGTGCACGAGAGCTTAATAAATGACGAAGAAACCTAGAACGCAGTGGCGTTAGCGATTCAGGAATCCCAAGCGAGGAGAATTCAAGGCTGGCTCTTAATTATTCCGATGGGACATCACAAATGAACAAAGATGGTGCCTTTTATTTGGAGGAAAAGCAGATGGGCGATCCGAAGCATGTTTTGGATCAATAAAGATATAGAGACGGAGCAAATAACGATAGAATTTTCAGACTTAACAACAGTAATCATCCGGTTTCCCGGGCGACTGATCTTTATGACATCAATCTATGTAGAGGAAGGGGAGGTCTTAGCACTGGACGACGTATGTGATCATCTAAAAAAAGCGATCACGAAAGTACGGCGAGACACGGGCATCGTGATGGAGTTCATGATTGTGAGAGATTTCAATTGTCATGATCAATTTTGAGAAGGAAACAATGTGTCGTTGACAAGACAAGGTGAAACGGATTCCATCATTAATCTCATGAATGAATATTCTCTCAGCAGTTTATTCAAACGAGGCATAAAGACATGGCATGGTAAAGGACAGAATAAAAACTGCGAGTTCACAATCGATCTTGTTCTGGCTTCGGAAAATTTGACAGATTTTGTAACTAGATATGCAATATATGAAACAGATCACGGCTCGGATCATTGCGTCATTGAAATTGTATTTGATATTTTGTGATTGATTTCAAAGCATCAGGAACGGCTTTTACTAAAGAACGCGTCATGGAAAGAGATTAATGTCAGAATCATGAGTACTTTAGTTGTCACTCCGTCGGAAGGCACAGTGCAGTAGAAAATCGATCAACTGATGTCTGCGGTCTCGGAAGTAGTGTATATCTTGACATTAAAAGCAAAAGCGTCGTCACATGCGAAACAATGGTGGACAACTGATCTGACACAGCTCCGTCAAATATATATTTATTGGCGAAATTGCGCCTGTTCTGAGTAACGGGCAGGGCAAAAGGTATCATATCTAGAAAAGATGGCCCAAGGTGCGGCAAAACAGTATCATGACGTTATCCGAAAACAGAAAAAAAAGCATTGGAATGAATTTTTTGCAGACAATGATAATATTTGGAAAGTCGTTAAATATCTGAAATCGAGAGAAAATGCAGCATTCGAGAAGATTCCGCAGTTCTTTAGAGCAGATGGGACCATCATCACCGATCATAAGGAACAGGCGAAAGAACTGTTGGCTAAATTCTTTCTGTTTCTGTCGGACAATATTGATGATGAAAAAATTAAATTATAAAGAACGCCGATGGAAATGTTTATTATCACGATGAAGAAAATAGAACGACAATTGCTGGCGGTGAAATTGTGAAAGGCGTTTGGCGAAGATGGCCTACCAATGATAGTTTGGAAGATGACATGGCCCGCAATCAAGCACAAAATCTTTGATCTATTCCAAGTCTCGCTAGAAGAAGGCACGTTGTCAAGACAGTAAAAACACGCGAAGATTATATCGTTCAAAAAGTTGAATAAAGAGAATTATGCAATTGTCAAGACATGGAGGCCGATCTCATTCTTAGCGACATTAAAAAAGATCCTGGAATCAGTCGTCGCAGAAAAGATCTCACACGCGATGAAGACGCATGGGTTGTTCCTGACCAGTTATTTCGGGGCTCGAAAGCAACAATCCGCGGAACAAGCACTCGTGTTTTTGCAAAAGCAAATTTATACGGCATGGCACGGCCGACGGATGTTAAGCTTGATCAATTTTGATGTTAAAGGAGCATACAACGGAATGTGTAAAGAACGATTGATTTAGAAAATGAAAGTTTGAAACATACCGGAGATCTTGTTTTGGTGGGTTGAGGCGTTTTGTTCGGAACGAACAGCAAATATCCAAATCAATGGGCAGTTGTTTGAGATTTAGAGTCTGTCACAGGCTGGATTGTCATAAGATTCGTCTTTGTTTTTGATCTTGTTCCTCTTCTTCAATGCAGATTTTGTTCAACGACAGATCGATAGTCAGGACGGAGTGATCGTTTTTGTGGACGATTTTATCGCATGGGTGATTGAATCAACTGCACGGAGTAACCGGGAAGGAATTGAAATAATTATTAGTGAAGTATTCGATTGGGAAAAGAGGAGCGGAGCGATTTTTGAAGCAGATAAAACAGTTATCATACATTTTGCTTTTAAAGCGCACAAATTGGATTAAGATTCGTTCATTATCAAGGGACAAATTGTTGAGTTCAAAGACCATGTCAAGATCCTGGGGATCCTGATGGACACGAGATTCAAGTATAAGGAACATATCGTGAGGGCGGCATTCAAAGGTCTGGAAGCGGCAATGGAGTTGCGACAATTTTGAGATTTATTCTCCACAATAGCGCGGCAGCTCTTCACATTGACGGTAGTCCCGATTGTAGATTACGTGTCTAATGTTTGAATACACGCGTGCAAGGACAAGGCCATCAGATCGATCAATCGAGTTCAAAGAATAGGAGCGCAGGCCATTGTAGGAACGTTTTTTACGGTTGTGATTAGTGTAGTAGAGGCAGAAGCTCACATTGTCACTGTACAACAGCGTTTTTGGAGACGGGCCGTGAAAATATGAACGGACATTTATATCTTATCAGAAATCAATCCTTTCCGCAGAAATACAGCTCGAATTAGGAAATTCAGGAGATTTTATTGTTCACCGTTGTATCAGGTAGCGGACGCATTGAAGAATATTGAGATGAAAACACTCGAAATCATTTATTCGTTTACATTAGTATCATGAAAAACACGCGTGCAGATTGTTGTTCAGGCAATTCCGGAATTATAAATCGAATTAAATAGATCAATATAGATCGTTATCAACAATTCGGCACGGAACGAAGTGGTAGGATTTGGGATGGCGATCGAGAAGTAGTCATTTCGATATCGGAAATCGAAACTGAAGATCTTTTCTGTCACATTGGATGCAAGAGTAGAGCGAAGTCCATTTTTTGCGGAGTTAACAGCAATGGCACACGCATTGAACATGGTAATGAGATTGAAAGCTTATAGAATTATACTGTTTACGAGCAACAAAGCGGCGATTCTGGCATTAAGAAATCCTCGACAATAGTTGGACCAGAAATTTGTCTTTCAATTGTACAAGTTGATGAGAAGATTACAGAGAAAAAGAAATCAGATCAATATTTGTTGGATTTTCATTTATAAAAATAACAAGCTGCTAGGTCTGGTCAAAGAACAGGCCAGAGTTGCAATTCAAAAAGATGCGATCCTGCAAGAACAGTTCTCTAGAATAAAGTCGACAACACTGAATATTGCACGATCTCAAGCAGTGTTCAGCAATGATCTGCCAGAGAACGTAGAAAGATATGTGAAATGAATGGATGCAACACTTTCAGGCAAACACATCCGGCAGTTGTATGATCGGTTATTGTGAAAAGAAGCGAGCGTGTTGACTCAATTCCGAACTGGTATGGCAAGATTAAATGGATATCTCTATCAAATCAATGTATTGCAGACGGATCAGTGTGCATGTGGACAAGCAAGTGAAACAGTTAAGTACTTCTTTTTTTAATGTCGGAAGTGGATCCTACAACGGACAGAAATGCTGCAATGTACCCATATTCACCGAGAAAACATATCTTTCTTTTTAAGCGGAAAAACTTCTTCTGATGATCAGGACTGATTGTTGAATTTGGAAGCGATACGAGTCTCAATACGGTTTGCAATCGCCACGGGTCGATTCAAAGTTGTTTAATCATTCCAATTAACACTAATGATATTCTCTTCAAACTAATCTACAATAATTATTTTGTGCCAGAGGCGGTAGACGCGCTTCAATTGCCGAGAATAGAATGTTGAACACTTGAAAAAGTGTCTTCAAGCTAGTCTATCAACAAAACTACTAATCCACAAGGACTAGCGACAATAATGACAGCTGATATGACATAAATTGAGTGTGATCATGCATGGGCTTCAAGGAGAAAAGGCATATCTATTTGGACATGTATAATAGATCAGTGATAGTTGCCCTTTCGGCTTAGCCGCCGGGCGTTAATAAAGTGTGTGTGTATGCGAGACGGAGGTAGCCGTGTTGGTCAGATGACAAGATCACCAATGGAACGGTCGTGGTATAGATCAGGAATAGGGTGCCGGCCTGCTCGAGTTTTAGCCAGGATACGGCCTGGCTCCCGTAGAGCGTCCCTCTGACTCGGTGGGCCAAGCTGCATAGGCACCAAAGTATGACGCCGCTACTGTACAGAGTCACAGCTTGTGTTTGGACAATAGTGCCTGGCGACGTTGGGAAATGCCAAAGCAAGAAGGAAACGAGGAAGAAAAGGAAGTAGGAAAGCCCAACCAGGTGGATCGAGACGAGGATCGCACCATCGCGATGAAGAGCCTTGTTGATGGAACTCATTTCGGTGTGGCAGCGGTTCGCAGCAGGGTGTGAAAAACATTCTGCCTTTGCATCGTGGGCTGGCCTCGGAGGGCATATACATATGGTGTTCCTTACCTCACTAGGCTGCTAGGAGTGTGTCCTGCAGTAGGGCTGGTTAATCGGTCTGGCTGAACGGTCTGGCTGATCCGGGGGGTATTCATCCATACATGACCGGCAACAAACGGACCCCGGCAACAAACGGACCCATGTTCGTGGTCCAAAAGATGACCGTGCGAATGCGCAGCAAAAAACAGCAGAGGGGAGAGAATAGACTCGCCTGCCGATGGGGGGTCCAGATTCAATCTGGAATATCTTCTCTTGCCTGCGTGACTCATTGACTGCACTGAAGCGCTAGTCAACCTATCACAGGCATTATCCGCCCTGGGAAAATGAGGGTTGACGGCAACTGATGGCCTTTCACGGCTGATCCCCGTGCCAGCCCCTACATTTGGTGGGTGCCATCAGTTTATAGCCATTGAAACCTGATCATCCGACCAAGACGGTGTGTATTTGATCTGTCTTCACTACGAGTATATAAACCGAAGCCAGGAGACGGAATGGGCACAGCTGGCCACCACAGGACTACCATGGCAGCATGGTTAGACCTCTCACACGACGACGCAACGAGCTGGTCCCTGGTCGATACGGGCCGGATGGATGACATCGTGCAGAGCATGAGCCATCCCGCCACACAGTACCCGTTCGTCCTCTCGTTCCTGGGCAATGACAGTCGGGTGGCAGCCCTGCGTGCGCTCTTTCCCCAGAACAATGTTACCCGCCGAGGACCAGCTGGTCTGGTCCGGTTGCATCTCAGTACCACGACCGCCAATACCGAGCATCCAGTGTGGTTCACCGAGAGCAGTTTCGCCCGCACACCGACGATTGACGGGTCCACCATAGCGCCATCCGCCGACCGTTCTCGACGGTACCCAGTTCGGCAAGGCGGATTCGAAACGCCGTGTGACATCAAAGACCACCTCCTCACGAGACTGGTGTTTCCGTGGACGCACGTAGCGTGTTTCTTTGCGGACGGAGAGAACGAGCTGAAGGCCCTGACCAGCTGGTTGGCGGCAACCCATGGAGACAACCACGCCAGCCCCTCGGACACACCAAGCCTGGTGCGAGTCATATTGATCCTGACGGTCCCAACCGCTATCTACAACGCCGACCCGGTGGAGGCGGGGTTGCCCGGTTCAGACGTTGCGGGCGAGCAACGGCCGACAATATCGGTCCTGGACCTGCGCGATCGTCATCAGTTGTCGCCCTCTGCCCTCTATGCCCCACTGCAGCGTCTCCTGCTAGACGGACTCCAGGACAGCCGGGCAGAACGCATACAGCAGGGCCTGCTCTTCTCCGCCGTCCATCTCAAGTTCATGTGGCATAGGTGCCTGGTACAAAGTCTTCTGCACCCGGCTGCCCGAACCAATTGTCTCTCCCTCGCTCGGGAACGACTGCCGGTGCCCTTTGCGTTCCACGATGGGCTCGCAGACTTGCTCGGGGAGGCGTGCAAGATCGGGTGCCCGATCCACGACCTCCGTCAGTTTGTAGCGTCGGCTCTTTTGATGGACGCCTATCCTCCAGGGATGCATCGTAAGTGCATCTGACCATCGTGCCTGTCTCAGCGGCTGATAGTGCCGAACGCGGACACTGACGCATCTAGGCTTCCGACCCCAGCACGTCTGTGATAGTTTGTATCGGGATCTTTGGCTGACAGCACCGAAACTGGGCGAAGGCCCAGACTGGGCCCAACATGGTGACGCTATTCGGGATGCGTTCATCGACAGTTTCGCCCACATGGGCCCCCTGAAAACCTCGCTCACAATCCGGAAAGAGGCACTGAGGTGCTTCGGCGCACAGTGGCCCGACCTCACGTTGCCCACGATGTGCCTGTTCTGTCTCGGCCGACCCGCGGAACACCAGCTACCCTGTCGACATGCGCTCTGCGATACCTGCGTGGTCATCTTTGGACGGCCGACCCGCGGAGCCGAATATCACCAAGATCTCTCGCAGTGTCCCCTGTGTCAGGGTGTGGTCGAACGCACGGTTCGGCAGTTACCACCGACCAAGCGGCCCGTCGTGCTCGCACTGGATGGAGGCGAGATCCGTGGCATCATCACCCTCGGCCTCCTGCAAGAGCTGGAGAGACGACTCGCGGGCAGCATCGTACTATCCGACATTCCTGATCTGACGGCCGGCGTCAGCGTAGGTAGGTCAGCCCCGGAGATCACCAGCGCCGCTACGGCGGTCGTGTCGCCAAGTGGTGACCGACTATCGATTAACTCACGCCAGGCGCCTTCATCGGAACGGACATCGTGCACAACAGTGTCTCCGCCGCAGATGCCTACCGGAAGTTCCCTGGCTTTGCACGGAAGGTGTTTCCGACCTCGGGTATCCCGCTGGGTAGATGGCCCTGGCTGAGAGTCATCATAGGCCTTTACAACGATAGCCTGTACGACGCAGACGCGCTGGATCAAACAATTCGGACTGTTTGCGGGCCAACTCGTCGGGTATTTGACGCAGGGACGACATCGGCCGGGGGCCATCGTCTCGCAATTGTCGTTAGCCGGACATCTGACGGCAAGCCTGTGGTCTTCCCCGACTATCATGGTGTGGGGCGGATGGGCATCGATTCAGGATATCAGGTCATGATGCGTCAAGATGGGACTCAGAATCCCTTATTGTCGGACGTGTGAGTGGCTTCATCCTGTTCCTCGGACGCGTCATAGGCTAACGATGGGTGCCAAGTCTCGGATGTAGCGTGGCGGCTCCCGGGTATGATCCCTATGATCTACCTCCCGCTCTTTCGTTGACTGGTTTAGCGTGCTCACTTCGGCCTTAGGTTCTTCCGCTCCAAACTTCTCCCAGGGCTCGGCCCCTTCCAGGACGGGGGAATCCGCGCCAATAACCCCCATGGAATTGCGCAGGCCGAATGTCGCCGGGTCTGGCCGTCGGCCCGGACGCATGATCTACTCGTGTCCGTCGGAACAGACTACATCCCATCGACGGCGGACTCGAACGCCTCCCCCAGCCACGCCGGCCGTAGCCTCCACGACACGGCCCCTCTTCGTCTGTGGCGGGCGTACTGCTCGTCCCCGTGTATGGACGGGATCGCAGCCTACAAGGAAGGCCTGCACCATGTTCCACACGCCATGCGGTTTCGTACGTTCCGGCTGGACGATGCCCTGGACGGCAACTTGCCCCGGCTGGACGATGTCGGACAACTGGCGGCGCTGACGAGCCGGTCGTACCGAGTACCAGACGAGCTGGTCCGAGCGGTGTTGGCTACGTGTTTTTTCTTTGAACTAGACGAGGCTCCTACCCTCATTCGGGGTCAGTACTATTGCCGGGGGTCCATCCTGTGCGCGCGACGGCAGGCACGACGGATCATGGAGCGGGTGCTGGTGGAGTTCCCGGGCGCCGAAGAGTTCCTCCACCAGCATCAAGCCGACGCGGTCTTTGGTCGGTCCGACCACCAAACCGACCGATGGCCACCTCGGCGAAGGTGCTATTGCGCGAGAGGGACCAAGCGGGTTGTGCAATTCCAGGCACCGCCTCCAGAGCGCAAGAAACGGCGTTTATAGCGGGGATGTCACCGGATCATCCGTCGGTGGGCAGACATCGGCTGGCAGCCTGGCCACAAGAGATTGCATAGCCTTCATTCGATGGCCAATGATATAATATACTGATATACCTACACGGCCAAATGTCGGCGCTACATTAATTATGTTGTGGATAGCAGATTGTCCCTAAGATAGTGGTTGCTTACGTAGTGTATGAGGATAGAATCAAGCATGATTAGTCTACACTGGCGAAACTCTGAAAGAAACAGTTATATATATATATATATATTTATTGATCTGGGCCGATTCCCAGCCATGGTATTCAGATATTGTTTCGCTGCAGATTCTCGATTGCAGCCAAAGCATCGCCGGCAGCTTCCCAAGAATACCACAACACGAGATATTGGGCGGAGTGGTGACCATCACAACCCGCTGACCGTTTCGCGATCACTTTGATAGGTATCAGGGGCCCGGTGGGGAGACACTAGCATCTTCTTTAGTGACGGGAAGCACACGATCAGAGTTGATGGGGATATACTGGCTTCGGGTCGGCATCGTCGTTATCGCAAGTAGATCGAGGCACGCTCCTACCTGGCGAGCTAGCCCTACTGTCGCGGAACGAGAGCGACTCAGAATCAGAAACCACAAAATCGCGGTCGTCGCTGTCTTCCGATGAAACGGCGGTGCTCGATGCTGAATAAGGCCAGGTTTCTGCGTTTTCGCCGTCCGATTCACTAGATCCGGTAGACGTCATGTCGCCAAGCATAGGAGTGGGCGGTGGATGGAATCGGTGTTGAAACCTTCTCTTTTATAACGATTCTATGCCGACCGAATCTATGGGCGACGACTACGACCGATGGTAGTGCAAAAGGAACAGAGGAGAAAATAAAAGAACAAAAAAACATCGATGAGCATCTGCCTGGGTATTAGGCGAACAGCTTCACAGATTCTACTACATTCTGGGCCACAGGCTAGTTACACTTGCTCCAACTGTCCTGTAGCGCACTAATGGATCTTCACCACGTTGCCCGATGCACGTTGCTGTTGCCTCGGCCATGGCGGGCATTAGGGCAATGCAGAGATATCTCCATCTCGCTCACAATCAGTTTTCTTCCTCCCATACCGATAATGCCAATCTGGATGCCCACAGTCCCTCAACTCTCTCCGGGGGAGCGAGCACACAGAGCATCACCCCTGATATGGGCCCCTCACGTTTCATCATTCCCATCACCTTCACAGATGCCGAAGCTTCAATATGCTAGTCTCGCTTCGACATTGGCGCCAGTATACAGACTACCGCCATCAAATTCATGGGACGATGATGGACAGTCGCGATAGATCGAAAGCCCTAGAGCACGGAGCCAGCCCGCCTTGGATGCCATAAATATTCCTGTCCTGGTCGCGATGATTCCTGGGACCAGGTACAGGCAGCATGTACCTAACACGCCAGGCTCAAGTCGAATCGAAGGAAAAGGCTCTGGAAGCCTACCGGAAGGAACGATTTCGTTGAAGCGCCCGAGTCCGTCTAGATTGCCTTGGGTTTGAGAAGGGGTTCAGCCGCCTGATGGATGACGGCCGCAATACCGTCCGGCTCGAGCGGATCCTTGAGTTGCAAGGCTGTCTTCGCATCAACCGGGATTACCATGTGCCGGTGCTGGTCGATGCGGCCGACTGGGGCCGTAGCATCAAAATGCATGATAGCGAAGACGAGCTGCTCCCGGAATTGGCTGTGCCTCTGAATATGTCACTCCGCGCCCAGGGGCACGAAAGCATTGTCGCAGCGGCACGAAAGATGCTATCCGGACCGAGTCGGTGGTGGGTAGTTGATGTATACGTGGAGGATCCAGGTAAGTTCCCCCTGCATCGCTGGTCTGAAGCACCCGTTTCCCGCCTCCCTGGCGCATGGCTGTAGCTTCGTTGTACGTACTAGTAGTAAGTGGAATGCGGTTTTTTTGCCCTAGGTCAGCCAACCATCGAACCTTGGCTTCACACCCACCTCGTGCGTTCCCTACGGGAGCACTTTCCGAACGAGCGTCAGCCCCCTCATGGGTTAATCTATCAGCGGCTTCGGTTATATGAAGGGCATCTCGGCTCGCCCCGCGATGAACACGCGGCCGCGGCGTGGTGGGCTATTCTGCAGCACGACCCGAGGAGTAGGAAGCATCGATATGTCGCCGCATTCTTTAAACATCCAACCCTTCCTCGGGCCTTTGATGCCCTTCTTCCCATCCCGGGCCTGTGGGCTTGCATGTATCTCGGGGTGCTCCACACCATGGTTTCTCTGCACTGCGATGAGGTATGTGGGCCCGTGCTCGTTCAATAATACCGCTGCTGAAATCAGAGACGGTACAGCCCATCCTATTCTATCTGGAACGGATCCGCAGCATGTGGGGTGATCAAATCCTCGGCGGCGATGCCACGCTGGCTGGCGCTGCGGACGCCCACACCGTTCGCGCGATTCCATCGCGCGTTCCCCAGATCTCGCAGCAGGATAAGGCGTTCCTGGAAAAACAAATGATGACCGACCGGACATTGTTCCCATCGATCTCCCTCCACGAGACACGAGAGGCCATCTGGGCTCGGCTGCAGTCGATCGACACCCCGATTCCCAGCCTACGCACGTTCTTCCAGGATCTTCTTTATCTGGGCGTGGCGCGCAAGGCGATGCAGACGCTTCTCTGCCTGCGGGAGCCGGGATCGACGGGCAAAGTCACGATCGATGAGGCACTAGCCGGGCAACGTCCGGCCGGCACAAGCCAGTCTCTGGAGGCTCTCACCCAGCAAACTCGGCAGGGCCTGCAGGAGCTTTGGCGGTTCTGCTTCCAATATGGCTTGGAAATAGCGGGAACCGCACGCCGCCTGCGTCAGCCACGGAAGCCGGAGCGGTTGCCCGACTCGCTGCATACCGGAAATGAACCAACATGGATCAGCCGAACGACGGTGTTGCGCCACTTTTTCTGGCTTGCCGAACAAGAAGGGTTCACCGTCCCCAGCCGGCCCGATCTAGTCCCGCAAGCCGTGTCCCTGCCGACGCCACAGTCACGCGACGCGGTGCCGAACCTGAACCCGGGCTGCGATGAACCCGTTGCCCGACGGCGCGGAGTCCCGTATGTTGACACGGTTGATGCCGACCGGTTCGCCCTGGAAAAAGACCGGTTGTGGGAGCGCTGGGATAGCCCGCACATCACGGCAGAGTTTGTACGGCGATCGCAGTTCCAGGCCTTTTTCGGTTACCTCCATGGCAATGTTGCACATAGCCAGGCCGCTGAGAGCCCCTGGGGCGATGCGCTGGCATCCGATGGAGCCGGGACGCCCGACCATACAATGCCCGATCAAGGCACCTCCGGGGATCCTTCAGTGTCTCCCAGCATCGCGGATATGCTACCGGACATACGCAGCCCTTCTAGCTGGTCCAACGCCTTTCAGGTGAGCGGGCTGTTTGGACTGGAATCCTTCCAGATGCCAGGGTGGAATTTGAGGGTGGACGTGGAGATTCCGGGACGGCAGACGAAGACGTTTTTATTACAAGAGCCAGCAGGATCGAACGACTCCTTCTTACAGGGGGGCATCAGCCCAATCGAATCGTTCCTCAATGGATTGGGACCGGAATTTGTGTTTTATGTTCCAGAAAATCGAACGATTCTTCGCGAGCAGGTCCACACCTGGCACCAACAACGTCCGGACCAAACTCTAACGGCCCGACTGGACCAGCAAATACTGCAAGAAGCCACAGCGACAAAGGGAAACTCGTTCAAAAGACATATCAGGGAGCTGACTGCGTCCGAGCTGGAAAGTAAACTGGCAGAGGTCGCCGCGTGGGTTGATAGGCAAGCAGATGGGCACTGGATTGTATCTACTACGGCTATGCCAACGATCAATATAGCGGAGGGATAGTAGCGGAATATGATTGCAGTCAGTGCTGTCCAATTGGAGTACGTTCCTGTTTCTGTGCAATATTTCCAACGCGAGGTGAACGTGCGCTTGATAGCACATCGGTCGTGATTTGGGTAAATCCGACGAACGTCAACTTTGTAGGCTGATGTGGCAGCCTCGAACGCCAATGGGCATGTACCATTTACTGCTTACCATTCGTTGCTTGATACAGGCAAGTTTCTATTTCACATCCTACCCATCGTACAATTCCCCTCGATATACAAGGGTAAGGGTTGAATGGTTGGAATATATACTTATTGCTCCTTGCGCACAGGTGTTGGAGATGGCGGAGTTACAGCCAGCCAACCTTACTCGACTAATTTGGCTTCCTATCGAGGACTCCCCTTTTCTTCACGCAGCCTCTCTCGGACCAGAGCCAGATCCCGTGGCTTGAGCCATCTGCGGACGTTGTTGCCCGCTGTCATCACCAAGACGTGGCCTCCCTTCCTCCCCTTGGTCCTCTAGCCCGTTGAGTACGTGACTCAACATCATTTCGAAAGAGTCCGATTCTTGGCCATTCACGCCGCGCTCCTTCAGCAGGTAGTCGATCACGGTGCCCATCCGATGGCTCGTCTCGTAAAGAACATCTGCCAGCTTGGCCATTTCCTCGAGGTCGGCCGTGGTTTGCTTCAACGCCTCTCGTGTGGAGCGATGATCGTAGTTCCGCCTCTGCTGGTCACGATCGGCTCGAGCAGCCCGACTGCTCAGTTCGGCGATGGTCCGGAGCACATCCTTCTCCGATTAGCGGGTTCATAGTAGGCGATGGAAGGCAATACTTACAGATATGTCCATACCTGAAATTAGGCACAGTATGGTAAGGCGTAGGAGTGGGTTCGATGTAGGGAATACTTCCGAAAGAAAGGTTCCGTGCACATGAATGTTGGAATGAGCTGTTTAAGTAGCCTCTGTATGGCTAGCTACCTCGGCCAAGAGCCACCGTGTGGAATCACTATCGGTCTTGCCGTCGAAACTCTCAAATGCTCTGGGTGGAAATCTAAGTTGAGGGCTTGGAGATACCATTGCAATCGCCCGGGGCTGGTCAAAAAACATACGCACTTTTGAAAATTATATCAGTTGGGCCGTCAACAAGATACCCCGCGTGCCTTTCAGCTGTAGGCGCATGCAGCATTAACGGCACCTTAAATCGCGGGATTCCCTTCATACAAAACTCATACCAGGACAACACGCCGTTCTTAGGGTTTCAGTGGTTATATCACGGCCAAGGTACAGGAGAGCAAGCCGGAACTCTACTTTTCCCCAAGATGGATGAAATTGTACGATTGGTCAAGGCAATGGGTCGACAGCAATGCCTCAATGCTTACTACCGGGTTTGTTATCTGCTTTTGAAAGACTTACAAGAAAGGATCCAGTCCGATTCCGACGACCTTCTGAAACTATGCTTTGACGAATCCACCGGTCCCGGCGATCTGGAGCAGGCCGCTATCATCGCGATTGGCCTCCGTGACACTGTCGCGGCCCTGCGCGCAAAGGAGAGAAGGGCACGTATAGACCGGGAAGAGTTCTACTGAGCCGGAACTTGATCATGTAGGCTGGTTGGTTGACAAGAGGAAATTGTGTCGGGTGAATTGACCAGCCATAGATGCGCATCACTTCCACCGAAAGGAGGCTAGTATGAGATATGCGACCAGGATAATGCACGAGGCAGGAGAACGTGGAACGGATGATGTGATTCTGCAGACGCAGTCATCCACCAGAATGGTGGGCAGGAGGGGGGGTTTGTGCTGGCCTGAGGCGGCAGGGCAGGCTTTCGCGGTGAAATAAGGTGTAGATAGCATACTGATTGCACACCCACTCAATCTACCTAGTATTCTGATTGCAGTGTCAACCCAGTGGGCCGAGCATGCACTCCAGTCCGAGCCCGAATTGAGGGTTGCCCGCATAGGCATTCTCGACGTGCTGGTAAACCACATACAAATAGGATCAAGTACACCTTCGCTCTTGAAAGACATGTCATTCTTCCAGTCAAACCATGAACAATCGCCATCGAACTATCTGGTACCAGTCTGTCGGCACACCGGCGGCAGGGAAAAGGGACCTTCCCGAGGCAACATTGAACCCCACAAAAAGGCAGAAGTCGGACTCAGCTGCCTGTGATGACGGTTGCCACGAACAGGACCCATGGACCGTATACAAACAGAGAGCAGTGGTTTTTTGCGGTCGCTATGCCGCGCTGGCCCATCATCGAGAGCACCAATCAAAAATCGTCCACATTGAGCGTCTTTCTATTGACAGGCCTGGTACGCGATATCTCATACAAACAGTGGAGCGACTGTCCCACGAGAGCTTTCTCAAATTACTCGAGGCCTATTACTACGAGAACCGACTGTTCTTGGTGTGGGAGCCGGTCGAGCTGTCGGTGAGAGAAATTTTAGACGCCCGGGCGCCCATCAATGAGCCACAGCTGGCGCAGATTATATTACCGGTATGTGCCATGGCGTAGGGAAAATGTCACACTGACGGACGGAGGCAGATACTCCAGCGAATCGTGTTCCTTCGCGAAAAAGGAAGAGCACTCGCCAAGCTGGACTCGAAAGCGATCCTGCTAAACAAAGATGGGATTGTGCGGGTTGGTACGTCTTCGTGCCCCCAAACCGGGTAACGATCCGAGCATCTAACCCAGTCTACCAGCGGGTGCGGAACACAGCTGCCAGATCCAGCCATCGGAGATGAACTGCGACACGTTGAAACTGACTGCTCTGGCCGCTATCGTGGCCGATCTGATGGATCAGGAGGGGAGTAGGCCTATCTGGAGCTCGCTGGCGAAAGAGTTCCTTCGAGATCTGACGACTAAGCGCCTGAACGAGTTGCTGGAGGTACGTTGGCACGTTGACTCACCTTGCTGCGTCTTGCTTACAATTCTACAGCACTCCTTCTTAAAGGAGGCGGGAGGAGCAGACAACTTAGTGCTGTGTGTCTCTATAGCGAACAAGATTGCCAGTTACAATATTAAAGAGGTGAACAATGTCTAGTTACCCTTCCGGATCGCACCGGGGAGCCTTGCCCGCTGCGTTATGACCAGTGGCCAAGCATAATTTAGGACTTGAACTCCATGAATACAATATCAATACTATACTGCATAGGCCCCAGGTTCTCGCCCCTTGGCCCCCCTTTCTAGTACCTTGGCAGCTTCACGGATGCTATCTCTCGTTCTGGCTATCTCTTCTTCAAGCTCGCCTATATACTCTTTTTGGCGCTTGACCTGCCTCTGCATATGCCAGGTTTTTTTTTCAAAGGCTCGCGACCGGTGTAGGCATGCTTGCATACGATCACGAAGACGCTTGTTCTCGTCATCGAGTTGCTGATTCTCCTGCTCCAACCGTTGAATAATCGCGGTAAAGGAATCGTCTTCAGGCGTCGAGGTCGGTTCATTTTCGGTCTGTCCAATCATTTCCATCAGCCTTGAAATACTGTGTGACATATGCCACGGGTAGAGACGGCTATCGTCATTAGACGTCTTACATTCTCATTTAATTCCAGATCATCGTGGTCCGCTTGCAGAACTGCCGGACGGACGGCTTCGAGCGAATGTCCAAGCGCACGGCATATCTCCTCATAGAGACCAACGGTTCCATTGCTCAGGGGCGTCTCCAAAAGATGCGCCTTGGAGTCGGTAACGGACCAGACGTACCCGTCCTGTGGAGCTGGCTGCAAGCGAACTTCGTTCGGGTCGATCCGCAAGCCGAGCCGGTTATCTAGGTCTATCAGTGTACGGCAGGATCTGGGGGCTCTAGGGGTGGTACGGATATGCCTGGACAATGCCTCGCGGCACCACTGTCGCCTCAGAGCACGCTTTTTATTACTCGATTGAGCCATGTGGGATGTATACAAGCCCTTCGTGCGCAAACCAAGGACGGATGAAAACCATCGGTCTGCACACGGTAGAGAATAAAAGGTGGATGATGGGGTAGCAACCACGGAACTGGGGGTCCATAAATATGAGATGGCGGCCTGTATACGCAACAGAGAGGAGGCCACAATTGCCGGGTTTGCTGAACGCGTTCTTGGCCATGTGCATTTGGGGTTCCGCTTGACCACTTATAACTTTGAGCCGGCGAGAAAAAAAAAACTCGAATCGACTTCGGTGGATCATAAATCACGTTGAAATAAAATAAAGATATGTATTTATGATATATAATTGATAAAGCGTGTAAGGTACATGTTACTGAAATGAACTTGTTTGCCATGCTTAAACAAGACATAACGACCGTTATTGATAAGCACACAAGCACCGATCAGATAAACAAGATCGATGATGCGGATCCTGCGCTCAACAAATGCCATTTTCACCGCCGCGGCGGACTATTGTGACCGGAGGAGAGCCATTCGCACAAATTATTCTCCCGGGATGATCTCAACTGAGCATTGCGGTTAGTCTCATCCCCCTGTAGCACCATTTCGATCCCGTACGCGATGCCCAGAGTCACGCAGAGGTATGACTGCGTGATAAGCGGTTTTGTTGACTACACTGATGAGAACCTGAAGCCCTTCTTCGCCCGTTGAAGGCCGAAGAAAAGAATGCTGGGAAATTAGCATGCTTGCGGCATGGCGACTGAAACGTACGGGCAACCTACACTTAACAGTGCGTCCACAGGATTCACGAACGGGTTGTCAATCGCCATTGTCGAGAAATTCTGTGCATGCGAACTCCAGGGGAAAGCGGCCCTATTCTTCTTCATCAATTCCGTGGCAATCGTCACGAGTGGAGCCAGTTGCGAGGCTGCTGCATCAGATGGGGAAGTGTCGCACTCGCGGCTGTGCTCCACGCCGGCTATGTTTTGTCAACGTGAGTACGTTGCAGCCTTGAATCATGCCGGGCCAGCCTACCGACCTTGACTTCGCCGCTTGCAGTTATGAGTATGTCTCGAGGTGTCAGGCTCTGCAGGACCCTGCCCTGGTTGTGAAGGAACGCAATACCCTCCAGGACCTATCGAATCTGCGTCAATCGCTTCACTCTGAAGATAGAGGCTCATACGTACGGGCCTGATAATCTGCACTATCTCACTCTCCGAGATCTCGCACGTTGATGCCAGAACCTCACTGACGGAAAATTCGATTGGCTCCCATATCAAAAAGTAACGCTGGTGATGCTGCATGACATCCACAAGCCGGCGGAAGCTGCGGTGGGCGTTTTGATCTAGTGTTTGGACCCAAGAACTTACGATTGGTCGTTCCGTGCCACCATCCTGAATATGAACAAATTCTGCTTTACGTTGTCGATGCCGGGCCAGAACCATGCGTTCCCAGATGATGAGAGCACAAGGTTCGTATGTCTGCCATGGGCTTCTCGTCGGAATTCCACGAGGGGTGTATGTGGGCTCGCACGAGGACGCCTTCGATCCGAAGTTGTTGGTGGGCTCGACCAATGCCGTGTCGGGATCGACGTTTGTGCGCACCTCCGGTGTTTGGACAGGTGTTGGTTCCTCGCTCTCAAACCACATTGTGCGGCCCGCGGCCTCACGTCTACGGCTGGACATGGCTCCCAGCGCACATTAATCGGCGGACGAGGTCAATGGGCCACAGGTAGCAATAATGTCTGGTTCTTATACCGACGTGCCTCATCGCATGGACTTTGTCGTACCCGGGAACCGAGAGCTCGTCAAGGCATGTGATATTTGTTTTAAACTACTCGATAAGAGGAATTTGGCCAGACCTTCCCTTTGACACCCCCTCGCGTTTTCTATGTGGGCCGTGGCAGTTCTCATCAAAGCGGTATTGCCCATCTCGGTGAAATCCAGCAATAGACCCTGGTTACTTGCATGTTGGCTCGTTCGTCAGATTCGGCGGTCAATACAATAGTCGGCTGTCATCTGAGCGGGCCATCTGGAGACACATTATGGGTCTTGCTCTACAGACACCGGGCTCGGTGTCGATGCGAATGATGTATTCGCCTTCGGTTTAGAAACATCGTAGATCCTTCTAGATCGCGTCTTAGCGACAAGTACAGGGTTGACCGGGGCGTCACATACCGTGCCCCGCAGAAGGGTTGCCAGTGTCGGGTTGACCGCTGTGGGATGAGATGGGCCGGCTCTCCTTGGACCTCGTCAGTAATACAACGTTGACTATTCCAGAAGCGTCCATGACCTCGCGCATACCAATGCACTCCCTGCTTCATTCCCCCGGTGGATAGCAAAGCCCGACACCTACAGTCATTTAGTCAAAGCGTCACAGTATGAGGCAGACAGATCCCACAGCTAAGGCAATTGCCCACACCAAACTCAATACAGTCCACATCGCCTTGTCTCGGTCTTCGTGCAGAGCAGTAACAGCCACGTGCTAAGTGCCCGCCTTGCCTGACGGTGGAAAATCGGCCAAGCAAACAAAGGCGATGAATCCAAGTATCTGGTTGGAATCGTCGAACGTACGCCTCATTGCCATCCCGTTGTGTTTATTATACGGTAGTTATTTCCTGGGCTGTGCTAGACTGGCTTCATGTGGCCGATCAGCCACGCATAATTGTGGATGCTACGGTACACAAATCTGCTGGTCGTATAGGAGCTCGAGCAATTGTTTGTTGCCTGCTTGCTGCATTCGCAAAGGCGCCCGTGTTGAAACTGCTGTCATTGAAGGCAGCAATATTAAACAGTCCTCACCTTTGTAAATAGGATAGGAAGCCTTGCACCGGCCCCGGGCGCAAGCACGCACCGGTTGATGAGAGTGGAAAGAATAAATAGAGCGCCTCTGTTCTCATTCCGTAGGTAGAACCGATGTAGGGGAATATTCGAGTAGCTCGGTCAATGATTCTGCGTCATAATGTCGCTGCATGGGCCATGTAGTGCCGACGATGATGCGTCTAGTATTTACAGCCGAACACCCCATACACCGAAGCTTGCGCAGCCATCGGCTAGTCCAACCCCGCATGATCTGCCTGACATTCAACCGCTCGATCACCAAATATACCTGGCTCGCGGATCCACCATCGCGCTGGAAACCACCCGGGCACGGTTGCAGTGTGCCAAAGACAACCGGCGACTCTCGTTGCCGGAGACCATTGTTGAAAAGAAGCGACAGTGGCAATGTCAGGATCACGAGAATCGCTTCTTTGAAACCTGCCTGGAAATCCTGGAGGACTTGTCCGCGGTCGCCGTCGATGTATCTCAAGAGCTGATTTTGCAATACGAGTTCGAGCCAGAGACCAGCCCGGAGGGCAACGCGCGCGTTCGACGAGCAAACCAGCGGCTTCGCAGCGCCCTGCAGCAAGCGCTCGAGCGGGAAGCACGTGCGGAGTTTGAATGGAAAAGACAATGGAATGTTCCTCGAATCGGAGGCCCTTCCGTGAGGTGGGTCTAGGGGCGGGCAACACTTCATTAGGTGCTACTTGGTCATGTATGAAATGGGTTTCCAAGTATACAGTAGCAGGCCCGGCGTTTCCATATGTAGCGCCGTCTTATCTTGATCTATGGACAGACTATACCGTATGTCATGGGATGCGACGCTCTTCTACTTCCCACCAATTGTCCACCCCACGTAGCCGTTTTCCAGCCAAGGCGTTTAGGAGCGTAGTAGATATCTGCCTGAGGTGCTCCTGGGGCCCTCGAGATGAGCGTCTATATCCTCAATTGACGGTAAAGCCCCTCCCTTTCGCCCCAATGGTCGGTGGGGAAATCGTCCACGACCGTATAATACCTGCGGGGCTAGTTGCGGGCTGCACAACAGCGGTGGTCTGCTGGCGATGATGATATCGTCGCCATGGCCGACGCCCAACCCGCTCCGCTGCCATCCATAGCTGCGGCTCGGTGGTGCAGGGATAAGGCCACCTAGTGCCCAGATTTTGACCAACATCCCCTGTATACGCGGGTTGATGGCCTTGTGTTCTGAGGAAGAAGGGCAAAGAGGCCATGGACCGATCACCGGTGAACCCAGCGTAGTCAATCTGGCCATCCGGGTAAAGCTGGTAGCGCTCAGAACTGCCCTGACATTTCCATTCCACTGTACTGGAGAACAGTTATGGAGCGAACCACAGTGCAATGAGAGGCTTCCTGATCGCCTTCTCGTCTTCTTACCCTATCAGGGCAACAGCTGCATGGGCGGGAGTGGCTCTGTGGCTGCCCAGGCACGTCACGGCAGCACCGGATCAAATTAAGTAACACGAGATTTTACATGATCTATACAAATTGCCTAATATTTATAACGTCTGCTCGCGCGCAAAAAAAAAAAAAAAAGAAAGAAAGAAAAGAAAGGAAAAGAAAAAGAAAAAGAAAACTACACAATTGACTTGGTCTGCAGCGAACTCATTGTCTGTCACCCTAAGAATAGTCCCGAGATAACCAATTCCTCGCCATCCTCAAGACAGCATGCACCAACGCTCGACGATCCTTCAAGACCGTTGACCATCGAAAATCATGAGGTAGATGTCGCTGGAGTAGGCCAATCACCCGGATCGGCTTGGTAAAGCTCGGATGCCTCTGCGCAATTGCACGCAGGAGCGTGGTATCGTCAATCACTCCATGCGCCATCGCGGCTTCCTCGTCCAGACAGCGTTGAATTGCTTGGAGCTGTCGTTGAAAAAAAGCAATGCCAGCCTGACGTGCCCGATCGTACAACCGGGCTGCCGTGGATCTCGCGATCGCACAACCACCGTCCTCTCTCAACCGAGCCGTGCGTCGGGCACGCCGCCCGTGCTTGTTGCCGCCTTTGGACAATGATCCTATATTTGCTTGGCTAGTAGATACTAGATGCAACAGTTCGGCCATCAAGTGGTCCATGGAGCGCCTCATATGCTCATTGCTCGTCATGTCGTCTCCAGGGGTGAACGGGGGGTTGCTCGTCGGCCCCACTGTTTTTTCACTGATAGAGGGAGTCCAGCAGCCGGTGGGACTGTTTTGACCGCCAGCTGCTGGCCGTTGACGAAATTGATCCGTCTGAGCATTGTCTCTGGACTCGGCTGTGAAGCTCACAGAGGATGTCGTTGGGTCGTGGTAAAGAACTAATGCCTGCGAATGGCCGTCATCCAGTAAAGTATTCTTGAGTATTTGAACCGACATTTCATAATTCCTGCCCATGACGCTAGATTCCGGACGGTCTGCATATGCGCTGTACGGAACTCCCTTGACGAGGTATTGGTCGCCGCGTGAGCCGTCCATGGGCCCGGGCAGTTGCAAGCATGGGTTTGAACATATCATGACAAGCCATGCTCAATTTATCAGGATCAGGCTACGGTATACCGGACGTGCCGGTCTCCCCAGGTGCCAAAAAGGAGACCTGATCAGCCCTTGCACGGAAAGGCGCAGTAGAATAGCCCCCCATTTCCTGGGTGTAGTCAGTAAGGCGATCATTATCTTGCTAGACTAGCAGAGTAGATATCTTCGGCCCGCATTTTGTCGAAACTCGACCCACGGAGGGGGTAAGTGAAAAACCATTACATATTGCTTTGACCACTAGCACAGCACCTAGAGTACCCGAGGCAGCTCTAGTAGGGATAATGTAGGGAACCTGGCAAATGGCCGAGAATTTAGGGCTCTTAATCCAAACTGGAAGCTGGGGCATATTGCAGTTGCGGAGCCCAGGAACAGTACCTCTAGGTATTGTTGTTTAGTTATTCTTTTCATGAAGGTCATTGTACCCACATATGGGAGCACACCCCTCAGTATTTGCACATCTGGGCTACCTGTCGCTAACCTACATCTGAATCATCGTGTAATATGGCCGGCGTGACTTGCTAATGATACTAGTTTCGTCTCTGTTAATATTTAAGTGAAGACTTCAGAAGACATCAAATGCCGTACATAAACACTTCCCTCCCCATAGCTATCTTCCTACCTACAGGATGCCGCCAGCGACATCCCTCTTATACGACCGTATTGTTCGAATATCGCAGACCGACTGGTATGGGATATGCGCCGTAATCATCTTGGGAAGTTGGCTTGGCTGGCGCCTTGCCTACCGGTCTTGCCGTTGCATTTTCCGACAGCCTGTCATGCACCTGCACCGACTTTTAGGCTCCCCTCTGCCGAGGCCATTTTATCAACTTGACATGGCCACAATCCAAGAGGGGCTGATTGTCGCTTTCCTGCTCACGGTGAATATCCTGCCATTGGTTGTACGGTCTCGATCTTGGATGGTTGTCCACCGACGGGCTGCCAACATCGCGGTCATGAACCTTGTTCCACTATGGACGGGGTTGACCTTCGGACTCCCCGCCCATCTTCTTGGTGTCAAGTGGTCGACCGTATCATGGATGCATCGATGGATCGGCCGTGCAGTCATAATCCACTCCATCCTCCATGGAGCTATCGCGATCCGGAGTGATGACAAACCAGTGCAGGCAATCCGACGGCATTACGTTCCATTCATGGTGAGTGGTAAGCCCCCATCCACTTTAGATATCCCATGACCCAATTTCCAAACAGACATCACTCCGTCTAATCTAAATCAGGCCGCATGTGCCATAGTATTGATCTTTCCGGTGACGCTGCATGCGATCACTCGTCGCCATCCGCAGCTGGCGATGAAGTGCCACTACCTTTTGGGGTCGACCGCACTTGCCTCACTGTCGTTCCATGTCTGGATGTACCGATCAAAATGCTTCTGGTACCTGGTGGCTGCGGTGGCAATATGGACTGCGCTGACTGCGACCGCCCTGATAAGGCCCCTAATGAGACGCTGGAGACGCTCGTGGCCTTCCGTGGTTATTTCTCCCTGTCATGAGCTCCTGCATATAGATATTACCGTTCCATCTCGATGGAAGGTTGAGACTGGTCAATATGTATACATCTGGCTCCCGCATGCAGGTCTGCGGGCCGCAAGTCAACTGTTCCTTTTTTATATCTCATCCTGGGATGATACGCCTGGCCTTGGAGACTCCGGGGCACTGGGCCCTCAATTATTATACTTGTCCGATCAGCGCGAGACATCGGCACAGGATGATGCATCTGGGCGCCCTACTGATCAGGAAGGCACATGGAGTGAACCGC